ATATATCGGGAGACATGGCCAGACATGGTTTTGACCACTTCATTAAGTGTTGTTTTGTAGAAAGCCTTTCTTTAAAGTGAATTTCGTTTTGTATAAATTGTATCTTAATTTTAATCAATTTTTCATCAACCAATTGCCTGGATTTAATTAATAAGAAGCAAATATAGCTGGATTTACAAATGCACATCTTGATTGTTGCATGCACATTGCACACATAGGCCTATATGTCGAAATAATGACATAACCACAACAACCATCAAATTGTCCTGGTTTGAGACTGTTAATACACAACACAAAATATTATTTTTATTTTTTTCGTGTTCGCATTTATGAGGGGGAAAAAATGTTACGGACGTGACAGTTCTCCGTTACGGACATGACCGCTCTGAAAGTGACTTTAAAACGTTCACAGAGACCTCAAAGAGAAAGCACAAAGCCTTTCTTAAAAGTGAACTTCGTTTTTTTATTAATTGTATCTTAATTTTAATCAATGTTTCATCAACCAATTGCCTGGATTTAATAAATTAGAAGTAAATATACAGTACCGTTCAAAAGTTTGGGGTCGGTACGATTTTGAATACTTTTAAAAGAATTCTCTTCTGCTAACCATGGCTGCGCTTATTTGATTAAAAATACAACAAAAATCAGTTGTAGTATTAAATATTATTCCAGTGTAAATCAGCTGTTTTCTGTGTGAATATATAGTAAAGTGTAATTTATTCCTATGATCAAAGCTGAATTTTCAGCATCACCAGTGTCAGTGTCTTCAGTGTCAAATGATCCTTCACAAATCAGTATAATATGAGGATTTGATGCTCAAGAAACATTTATTATTATTATCAATGTTGAAACAGTTGTTGGTCTGTCAGTTGTACAGTTTTTTTTTTTTTTTTTTTGGATTCTTTGATGAATAGGAAGTTCAAAAGAACAGCATTTGTTTGAAATAGAATCTTTTGTAACATTATAAATGTCTTTACTGTCCTTGATAAATAAAAGTATTGATTTCTTTCCTCCAAAAAATAAAAATAAAATTCTCACTGACCCCAAACCTTTGAACGGTAGTGTAGCCTAGTAGAAAATCATCATGACACTCGCCGGCGCGTGACCTGGACTCTGGTCTAATAAATGAACCAAAACACAGCTTATAGCCTAAGGTAGGCTACTTGCCTCACAGACCTGATAAATATATAGAAAACTTGACATGTCTACTTTTTAACAGAACAATTCAAAATGAAAGAAAACAGACTACAGACTGCTCTCTGCTTATGTAATCCGTATGCAATGTGCATTTCTCTCTGGCGCGTTTACTACTGCGAAGATCGCGAGTCAGCAACGTCACCTTTATATTTGCAGCTGACACTGACAAAGACTTGTTTATTAATAAACAATTAAAATGTCCCCTTGCTATACTATTCATAATCATTACTTTTACATGAAACCGTCACCACTGCATCAGCACCGAAAACATGTTTTTTTTTTTATCAAAAATCGTGATACGAACCGATTTGTAGGTTTGGTCTATTGTTACAGCCCTAGCAAGATGAGAAAGCAGGAGTTTAGTCGTTTATCATGGAATGTTTATCTGAACATCTTTGCTAAGCGCAAACCAGTACAGAAGTAATCAATAAATTATCGGGGAGGGTCATGCCTTTTTTCACAGTCATTTTGGAGGGTCATAGAAAAAAATACTGCTGGCGAAGGGAGGGTCAAGTCTTTTTTGACTACAGATCTCAAATCTCCTCCGGTGGCCCCTTAAATAAATAACGAACAGTCCCTAAGCGGAGGGTGTGTTCTTAATTTTTGCTCTTAATGTTAATCAAACTACAAAAGACAAAGAAATCACTCCCTGATCTTCACTGAATTATGTTTTTGTAACTTTTAATAAGGATTTAAGTTTAATTTGTACAGTGAAGATTATTTTCAATTTAATTAGTTAGTAGTTTTAGCTGTGGTATCGAAATTGGAATCGAGAACTGTTAAATTTTACTGCCATCTAAAATTTTGGGTGTCATAACCTTATTACAATACAAGGATACATGGGTCAAAAACAACAAAACCAATAACTTTCATTCATTTATTCCTTTTTTTGTGGTGGCGCCAAGGAGAATTTAATCATTGAATTCATTTAATCGAATCGAGAATTTAATCGAATTGGAATCGAATCAGGACACCTGTATTGATACCCAGCCCTACTCTTTACGAGTATCCTTATAAGTTGTTTATGTCTTAAGTAAACATAAACAGTTTTGTTGTAAAGCAGCCTAACATGGGCTATCTGCTGCCGTCTGTGCCATTAATGTTAAATCCAACAATCTCACATTGATCTTGACTAAATCACTTTTGTAACTTTCATAAGAATTTAAATTAGAAATACATACATTGTGTCAAGTGATCAATTTCTAGTGCTTGAAGTTTTTCAGGTAGGTTATTTCCTTTGTCTTTGTCCTATTGTAGTTTTTTGTAATTAGTTTTTTTGTTTTTATTTTATCACTGACCTTTTTTTTATATACTTGTGTTAGTTAGGCTAGTATTAGTTTGTGATATTGAAATTGGTGTCAAGAATTATGAAATTTCAATGGTATAAAAAACTATAAAAAACTCTGAACATACAGAAAACAAAAAGATTAGGCAGAATGTGTGAAAGAGAGAAAGAGGAAACCAGGCCTCTTTAGAGACTTCTAGAAAGTGTTCATTGAGATGAGCAGCTGATGTTGGAGAGGGAAAACACTTGGCCTGTGGGCAAAGTGGGTCAATGTGTAGTTGCTGCCAGCAACGTGTCTGTCAAAACTACAGAGTGAAATCTGTTACAATCTTGTCTTTAATATGAAGGCTCGTAGTCTGACAAATCCATCTGCTTCAAGCAAGCAATGAGTCCTCACAGCCACAGTGGCAACTCATCCATAAAATTTCTGGCTCAATTGTGATTTTGTTGTGAGTCTGAACCACCTGATCTTGAGATTGATGTGTGATCATGAAGGCTGCATCCCATGACTTTTTTCAATGCATCCTTACAAGTAACATGATAAATAGGAATTGTTTTTGGTCTTGATACAATGACTGTTGTGAGTAGGGCTGTTGGAACGAATTCCGAAATTCGAATATAATTCGAATATTTAAAAAATCAATACTATTCGAATGCTGAAGTTACTATTCGAAAATTGTTTTTTTTTTATGTATATTTAATTTTTTTTATATATATATAAACAGGAAAGAGGCCGCACTATGCATAAATTGTTTTATTTGCTCAAACGCGTTTCAAGAAGGCACGCGCCGAAACGCGTTTGTGCAAATAAAACAATTTATGCATAGTGCGGCCTCTTTCCTGTTTAACGTTATATATTCTAATCATCAGGCCAGCATTCTTAAAGTTTAAGTTTAATCATTGAGTGAAGCCTGCTCCTATTCCCATTCATTAATTTTTTTTATATGGAATCTTGCCTTTCTCGCCACCTTGACTTACACACATGTGAAAATGAAATGCTTTTGTTTCGTCTGATGAACAATAACGTTTTTGAATCGTAACACAATTGTGCACGTTATCCACGCTGTATCATCATAACAATACTGTCAAAAATGGTACATGTTTAACAACGTAAAAAAGCGCCCGTGAAGCGCAAATATCTTGGTGAAAACTCAACGGATTCGGCGAGCACCAAACTCGTTGGAACCGTCTAGTCGAACTGAAAAGAACGATATAAGTTTCAGAATTTTTGGTGGTGTTTTAGCGGAGATATTAGCCGAAAACCATCGGTAGCGCTTCAACCATATTCAGCACGAATAAAATGTTTATTGTAATGTTAGATATCCCTCTAGTGGACAGAACGTGTAACAACAACCACATGCTATAGTGGCATTGGCGATCCATAAGCCTGAGTAATGTCGTAAATATTAATAATAGGATGAATTTGAGCATTTAATATTCGAATATTATTCGAATATTAAATAAAATAAGGAATGGAATTCGAATAGTATTATAGAGGAAGATTGACAGCCCTAGTTGTGAGTCCCTGTGAGTATAGTTAGATGCTGGAGTAAATGTCCTTCATGAATCTGAATGGATTATTAGAGTAGATTTTTTACATTTTCTATTTTCTTAAAGTGGCAGTTTGCATTCTTATAATCCATCTGTGAAATTTTTAAATCACTGGTCATGTGCACATGCATGATATGCACATTTACGGTCATTACATTGTCAGCTTTTATAGTCTTGCACAATGTGCTTTGCATTTTAAGATGCTGTTACATTAAAAAGAGTTCTTTTAAAAATATATATCTTGAGATTTCAGTATTGTGTTTAACTTTGTTTTGCTCCGTTTTGTGTCCAGCTCTTTAGTCTGAGCTACAGGCGCTGTTCCAAAACTGAATTCAGCCTGAATACTGCATGTCAGAATATTAGCATGCATTAATATTCATAATATGCATCATGGTATTATAATTTTAAAAATACAGGGGTGCCGCTAGGATTCAGAAGCTTGGATATTACCCAAGCACATGCACAGTGCAATACTAGTGGCAACAAGTTAAGCTTGTGCAGTGTGAAGTGTTAGAAAGCTGTAGCCTCTAATCCCAAGGGAACTATATCCATGGCCCTTGGGCTAAGGCCACAAGTTACAACCAAGAGTGGTTACACCCTTCACACAAACCTAAGAAAAAACATTACAAGAGTGAATTAATAGATGCACACTGAATAGTATGTGCCAAACAAACAAAACACAGACACCTGACTGCTGAGACTGCATACATGCATAAAGGGTGGACTGTTAGGACAAGTTATGCAATGTGAAGGTCTGATGTATTGTTGGGGATAAGGCTCTGGTATGATCTGATGATATCCATGCACACAGCTAAGCTCTGGCACATGTGTAAAGGCATGGTGTGGTTTCACACCAACACAGATGCTGAACTAACACTCATGCACATGTCAGTCCTGAAATTCCCAGGTCCATTATTCATACTCAAACCTAGCATGCTCTGCACAAGAGAATAAAAACCAGACTTACTCTGTACACATGGAAATGAGCAAAAAAAGGGAATGATTTTTTGAGCTTGTCAAAACGACGCATCTTGAGTTCTATGAGGCAATCCACAAAAAGTCAAGCTAAGCGTCCGAAACTCTTTTGTTGGAGAACAAGGTCCGAGATGAAGAGACACCACTCCAAAACTGTGAAGGTCTCCTCAGTTTGAAGGTCTCCCGAATTTGAACAGCCCACGTACTACATTCCATCGCGGGCAATCCACATTAAGCTCCTTTAACCGAAGATCAGTGCTAGTCTGGAGAACTTGTATGCAAGGGGGACCGTGTGGGGTAAGGCAAGAAAACACCAGAGAGAGAGGTTTGCCAAAGGGAACTGTTCACTTGGCAGCCTAGTTAGAACATCTCAAAACCAAGTTTACACTGAGGCTGTGGAGCGAGTCAGAAGGAGTGCAAGGTGAAGTCCTTATTGCAAAAATATTTTGCTGAATATACTGGAGTCAGTTTCCTCAGTTGCCAATTCCTCTATCCATTTGCTCAGTCCACCAACCAGCTATTAATAGGACGGTTTCTTCTATTCCCAAATCCCTCACTCAGATGACAGCCACAGTGAAAGTGATAAGAGAATCAGAAGAGCTGCAAAGCCCAGACAAAGTCGTCCCTTAGTGCTTCTGTGGTCTGCTTGGAAGAGGTTCTGACTTTTTTTGTCTTTTTGCATGTTTGTGTCAGAGGGGACGTGTTGTTCTGGAGCAGGAGGAGCGTCTAGGACTTTCTCTTTTTCTCTCCCCCTAGTGCGTGACTGTGTAATTCCTGCAACTCGCAAACAGACGCTGGGGAAGTGCCCCTTCTCGTTCCCTCCCTCTCGCTCTCCCTCTCCTCCTCCTCCTCCCTCCATCAGCCAGTGCCCGGGACAGAGACTCTATGGTATTCGGATGGAGGAGCATTTGATCGTGAGCCAAAAGGTCAGATTTAACTGCAGGACGGAGAGCTCATTTCCTGTGTTCCTCCCATATGTTGGGCTTTTAACAAATCCCCCTCCTGAACACCACCATATCCCCTCCTATCTCTGGCTCTCACCACATCTTTCTTTTATATTCACTCTCTCTCTCCCACTCTGCTCTCAACTCCCACATGGCCTGACTTTTCTTCTTTATTTGGTTCGCGGCATTCTCCTTCCTCAATCCCTCTAAAAACATTATCTCAACCTCTAGTAAACAAACACATTCAGAATGTGTCCCCTTTCTCTTACCCCTCCGAATGTAAACGGGACATTTTGGCTTCATCACCCCTAGCAGAATAAACCATGTTTTATTTACGTCCTTTCTTCCTCCCTCATTCCCCATTTGTTCATCAAGTCCACAGACTAAACCAGATCTGCAACATTTTAAGGGATAAACAAAATGTACAATGCCGGGTGAACTGCGTTGTTGTTGTTTTTTCCAGGAGCAAAAGGGAAGATGAGGTGAGCCTCAGTCTGCCTCCAATTACTGCCCTGAAACATAGAATTCCCAGCGCCGCTTCAGACCAAGTGGCTAATGTGGTAGGAATTTTCTGGAGACTTATCGAAGAACGAGCTTTATTTAAGCAAGAGAATGGGGAAAAAAATTGGTAGTGCTAGCACAGCTGTGAAGGAGGGGAAAGTGTGTGTACCTGTGACTGAGCTCAGACATTTGTTTGAACATTTAAACCAGCTGTTCACTGTAGACACTGTAGGTGTCGTCGTGTCTGGTCAATTTATCTTACAGAGGGTTTTTTGGTCCCTTGCCAAAGTGGCCTGTGGCTTACTCATGGGGGGTATTATGTGGGGGTGTTGAAATTAGTCGTCGTTCTATGCATTGCGATGCGGACGTGGACGATTCTGCATCAATTCAGTAATAGACTATAATCGATTACAGCCTACTGACGTTTCTCTGACGCCATTCGTCACATATGCGCTTCTCGGGCTAGCGTAAAATGGCGGAGGGAGGCGAAACACAAAAGCGAGTAATAAAAAAAATGCACCCACTATTTTAAAATTTACAGCGTGTGCGAGTGTGTGCATGTGTGCGTGCGAGGCCGCAAGCGTGTGTGTGAGCGGTATTGTAACTTTAGTAAATACTAAAAGCGCATAAAACTGTCAAGTGTACTTGTGTTACTTTGTTCTAAATGGTCCAATCGTCTGCTGTGTTCAGACTTAAGTTCAAACTTAAGACTTAAGTATGATGTTTGTTACATTAAGGAAGTGAACTTTCTTGGAGCAGATACAATGAAAAGGGAGTTCATATATCTGACTGCTTGTATTCATTGAAGAAAATGTGGGCATGTGCAGTAATATTGAAAAGTAAGAATGCAACACATCGTGATACTGAATCAAAGACATGATAATAATTGTAATCGAATTGAATGGTGAGACTAGACGTCCCGGTATTCGGTAATGCGATAAATCGCGGTAATGAATATATTGTTATCGCGGGGATTTCAAAATACCGTGAAAAATAATAGATCCGAATTTAGATTTTTAGAACGCGCATTAGCTTATTTTCCATCAACCACTTAAAAAACAATGCGTAGGCCTATATGCTGCGCAAAACACGTGCACACTTTGATGTAAACAATCCCCACATGTAGAAGCACTGTGTGCATGCAGTGCGCACTCTAGTCTAATGTAAACAATCCTCACATGGAGAAGAAGCATGGCGGAAGGAGGAACGCTGCCGACGATTTATCCCCCTTAAAAGCAGGGCGGTCAACTCTCATGCATTCAGCTTGAGACTCACGCAATTGACACTTTTCACACGGTCTCGCGCCCCACATCCATTTTCTCACGCAGAGAAAAATCACGGAGCAAAGAGGACACTGACACCGACAGACTAGACAGAGCAGGTTACTTTTGATATGAAAAAAATATCAGCTCTCAGGTTCTGTCCATTTTATAATAAAATTCAGACAATACTGTTTTGGCGCTTGTAAATGTGACGTGACAGATCGCTGCGCCTCAGTTCAAGTAACCGATCATCTGTTACTTTTAATTAAAGATACAGTACAACCCACCGAAAGGAATACATAATTTCGATCAATCAGTGTTTTTCAACCACGGAAAGAGGTCAATAAAACTGCAGGAGAACAATTATGTCACAGAACGTTACATTTACCTCAGGAAAGCCATTTAATGACCTGCACGTTAGTTGACTAGAAAAAAATAGCTATAGAAAGGAGTATTTTGCTAAATATGTGCACTATATTACATATTTTAATATATGTTTACTTGTCATTATATAATTGTTATTATAATGAAAATTATATAAAAATTTTATATTTATATTATTATTATATTTTATTATATTTATATTGTATGCATTATATTTAATTTCTCTCTGTATGTTTACAGCATTATGTGAGATATATTTTTTCTTGAGAAAATTTTTAATGCAGGCTATCTACTGTAGCCTACCTAATATTTATCCAAATGTGTCAATATTGAATCAAGATTGAAATCAAATCCAAGAATTTAATTGAAATCGTGAAAATTGTGTTAAGCAATAATACAAACAGTAGCCTCAGTAACTGTACCATGTAAACATTGTAACATGTTGTCACTAAAAAATTAAATTATTTTTAGTTACCAAATGTTTTGACAATCACAATTACACATTGTGATGCAAGTTTTTTTTTTTTTTTTAGATACCCCTAATCCATCTGTTTCTCTTGTGCAATTAAAATATCGTGATAATACCGTACACCGTGATAAAAGCTCAATCAATTAATCGCAGCATGAAAATTTGATACCGGCACATGCCTAGGTGAGACCAATGATGATTCACAACTGTAGTATTAAGACAATATTTTCTGTAAAGCTGATGTAAAACATCACACACTGTGAAAAGTGAGGAAAAGTGTTGACCTGAGGAAAGTTCACCCAAAATCAAACATGTTGTCATGAAATATGGTAAACAGAAGTTTAAGAACAAATCTCACTGGGTCTCATGCATCAAGCAAGTTTGAGATTCTGTTTACCCAATTTTATATGCTTCATGTATGTGCGGCGTTAACCAATGTTTATATGCAAAAAAAGCCTAAATTAAATATGTTCATCATATGTGACCATATGTTTTCAGTACACTTGGATTAAAGTGCTTTATTAATATGGATTACTTATACAATGTTTTACTGAACTTTTTGAAGCTTGAGATTTTCAAATGGATGGGGGAAAAAAATGAGAATATATCTAATCTTTAGGGCTGTCAACTTTAGTCGTTTAGTCGACTAATCGGTCGATGCCATCTTGGTCGACTGACATTCTTATTGGTCGACCAGTTGTATTTTTTTTTTTTTTTTTTACCAATAGAAAGAAATTTTCAATGATTTACTCCTTGATATTTATTCCTTTATAAGCAGTTATATATTACTGTATTCTAAATATAATTAGCCTATGGTTTATCCCCAACTTTAAATGCTTTAATTTAGGCTATTTTGTAACAGCGCCACAGTTTAGCGCACACACATAGAACACTCGGTTCCCCCCTGTGGCTGGCTGCGCTGCTGCTTCGTGCTCAGTAAGGGATATAGGTAGTTTAGCTGTATTCATTCAGTTAGAATGCTACTTGTTTCGGTTTTTATGTTTTTATACACTATATGTTTTTATCTCGATGCGGCGTGGACGCACTTGGAAAAAAAAGAGCGCGTTGCTCCCATCATGAGCGCGCACACCGCGCGCCTACATTTGAAATCGAACTTGAGCGCGCAAAAGACGTGAGCAGTCCCTTTAACGGCTTTATCATGCTGACTCAATAGATTGTGTTTTCTTGATATGTTTTTGTTTTTATTTGTACACTTGATGCATTTGAAAATAGCCTAAATAATGTAACAAAACGAAAATAAACCTATATGCGGTCCTACAATACAGCCTATTATTATTAGGATTGTTTTTTAGGCTCTTTGGTTTTTTTGTCTGTTTGTTTTAAAACTCCTAGATCGGCTGGACAAAAGTTAACCCATAGCTTTGAAAGACAAGTAAAGAAGAATATAGGCTACAGCCTGTAAACGAGAGCTTTTGTTAGGATTTTTCATTGTGGCAGATAGCAGTTATATTTTGTGTAGCGTGTGGTGTGGTCAGGTGCGCGATTGTGACTGTTAGCCTACTAGACCTAGGACAGAGCTCCTAACTTTGCAGTTAAAAAAAAATCACTTAATTTTAAAAGAATTGTATTATTATTATAGTTTTATGTATTTTTGATGTTTTTTCGTTGTTGTTTTATAAATGCTATGACAATTGTTAAAAAATGTTCAATCAAAACATCGTGTCTTTTTTTTTTAGTCGACTAATCGTTGCGCAGGACAGGACTTTGGTCGACTAAGGATTTCTTTGGTTGACTACAGCCCTACTAATCTTCATTTGTGTTCTGAAGATGAATAAAAGTCTAATGAACAACAGACAGCATTTTTATTTTTGATATTTTGTATTATAAAAATGTAAACACCAAATAAACAAGGTGATGGTGTCGTCATCAAGGAACACTTTCTTCTATGTGCATTTGTGTATGTGACCTGTAGTTACCGCCACTGCTTTGCACATTTGGACCGGGTGAGCCAAGCTCACACTTCACCTCTATATGTAGCACATCACAGAGAAGACAAATCCCCCCTCGCTCTAATGTCTGCCTGCAGGATTCTACGATGGTCCATGTCAAACCAGCATCAAACCTGATTAATGGAATCAGAGCCCTACTCCCCATTAAACCCATAAGACTACTGAATTGCTTGTTCTAGCCAATTCAATGTTTTTTACAGAAATATTTCTTGTAGTGGTCAGATGGATCACTTGTT